TATAAAAGGATACTATCAAGAGAGTGAAAAGACAACCTACAAATGGGAGAAAATATGTGCACATCATATACCTGATAAGGGATTAATATCCAGAATATATAAAGAACTCCTACAACTTAACAACAACAACAAAAAAACTCAAGTCAAAAATTGGCAAAGGATTTGAACAGACATTTCTTCAAGGAAGACAAACAAACGGCCAAAAAGTACATGAAAAGATGCTCAACATCACTTGCCATTAGAGAAATGAAAATCAAAACCACACTTGCCATTAGGGAAATGAAAATCAAAACCACAATGAAATACTACTTTTCACCTATTAGGATGACTATTACTAGAAAAACAGTAAATAACAAGTGTTTGCCAGGATATGGAAAAACTGAAACCCTTGTGCATTTCTGATGGGAAAGTAAAATGATGCAGCTTCTGTGGAAAACAGTCAGTTCCTCAAAAATTTAGAACAGAATTACCATATAATCTAGAAATTCTAGTCCTAGGTAAACATCCAAAAGAATTGAAAGCAGGGACTCAAACAGATATTTGAACACCAATGTTCATAGCAGCATCATTCACAATAGCCAAATACTCAAATGTTCATCAACAGATGAATGGATCAACAAAATGTGGTATACATATATATGTATACATACATAAATGTATATACATACATACATACATATGTACATGGTATATATACAATGGAATATTATTCATCTTTAATATGGAATGAAATTCTGATACATGCTACCACATGGAGGAACCTTGAAAACATTATGCTAAGTGAACTAAGCCAGACACAAAAGGACAAATATTGTCTGATTCCATTTACATGAGGCAACTAGAATAAGCAAATTCATAGGAACAGAAAAGAGAACAGAGGTTACCAGGGGCTGGAGGGATTGGGTAACGGGGAATTATTGTTTAATGGGAACTGAGTTCTATTCAGAAAGATGAAAAAGTTCTGGAAATGGACAGTAGTGATGGTTGCACAACACTGTGAATGTACTTAATGCCACTGAATTGTATTCATAAAAATTGTTAAAATGGTGAATTTTATTTACATATATTTTACCACAATAAAAGTATAAAGAACCTCAAAAAATAATTGATTCTATCAAAATAATAATGTATTGTGGGGTTCATAATATTTGTAGAAGCAAAATGAATGATCACAATAGCACAAAGGCTATTGTTACACAGTTACTGGAAGTATACTGTCATAAGGTTCTTATGCTATTTATGTAAGTGGTATAATATTACTTGAAGATAGACTGTGATAAGTTAAAAATGTATACTATAAACTCTAAAGCAACCACCAAAAAAAAGTTATAGCTAATAAGCCAACAAAGGATATAAAATAAAATGGAATCATAAAACATACCCAATTAATCCAAAAAAGGCAGAAAAAAAGAAAAGGGCAACAAAAAATAGATAAGACAAAACAGAAAAACAAATAGCACAATGGTTGATTTAAATTCAAACATATCAATAATCAGAATAAATATAAATACTCTCAACACACCAATTAAAATGCAGAGATTGTCAGAGTTTTTTAAAAAGCAAGACCCAACTATATGATGTTGAAAAGAAGCCAACTTTAAATAGAGAAACACTAATAGGTTAAGAGTGAAAAAAGATATACCATGCAAACACATCAAAAGAAAGCAGAAGTGGCTACAGTAATATCAGATGAAATAGATTTCTAGAGCAAAGAATACTGCCAGAGTTAAAGAAGGGTATTTCATAATGATAAAGGAGTTGATTTAGGAAGAGGACATAAGAATCCAAAAAGTTTATGCACTTAATAAAGGAGTTTCAAAGTACATGAAGCAAAAACCAATAGAAATGCAAAGATAAGTAGACAAATTCATAACTATAGTCAGAGATTTCAACATAACTTTCTCAATAATTGATTAAACAATAGACAGAAAATCAGTATTAAATAATACTATCAACCAACTTAACCTCACTGACATTTATAGAACACTCACTCGAGCAAAACACCCTTCTCTCCAAGAGCACATGGAACATTTACCAATCAAATCATACAATATAGGTTCTCTGACCAAAAAGAGATTAAATTTGAAATAAATGCCAGAAGATATAAAGAAAATCTCCAAACATTTGGAAATTTAACAAAACACTTCCAAATAACCCACGGGTCAAAAAAGAAATAACAATGGTGGTTAGAAACAGTTTAAACTGAACTAAATAGAAAGCATAACATATGAAAATTGGGGGGCTGCAGCCAAAGCAGTACTCAGGAGGAAATGCCTACATATTAGAGTTCTAAATGGCTATATTAGAACTGAAGAAAGCCTTCAAAGAAATGACTTTCTCTTGCACATTAAAGAAATTAGGAAAAGAAGAGCAAATGAAACTCAAGTTTCACTCAAAAAGAAATAGATAAACCCGAATGGACTTATATCTATTAAAGAAATTGAATGTGTAGTTTAAAATCTTTCTTAAAAGAAAGCTCTAGACCCCAGTGCCTTCACTGGTGAACTCTACCAAACATATAATGAAGAAATAATATCAATTCTACAGAAACTCTTTCAGAAAACTGAAGAAAAAAGAATACTTCCCAACTCATTTTATGAGGCCAGAATTATCCTGATACTAAACCAAAGACATCAGAACACAAGAAAACTACAAACCAATATCCCTCATGCACATACATGCAAAAAACTCTTTACATTTTAGCAAATCAAATTAAACATTATATAAAATAGATAATACTTCAGGTGGGATTTATCTCGGAAATGCCTGGTTGATTCAAAACTGGAAAATCAATCATTGTAATTCACCATATGAACAGAAAAAGAAAAGGCATATGATCTTTTAATAGATGGAAAAAATGCTTTGGACAAAATCCAACATCTAGTCCTGATTAAAAAAAAAAAACCCTCAGCAAACTAGGAATAGGAGAAAATTTCCCCAATCTGAAAGGTCAACACAATATCTATAGTAATATCATATTTAACATTGAGAAATGGAATGCTTTCTCCCTAGGTTCAGGAATAAGGCAAGGATGTCCACTTTCACCACGTCTATTCCAAATTCACTGGAAGTTTTGGCCAATGCAACAAGTCAAGAAAAAGAAAGAAAAGGGATTCATACAGGAAATGAGGAAGTAAAACTGTCTATTTGCAGGTGACCTGACTATCCACATCGGCAATTCCATGGAACCTACCAAAAAAGGTAAAAGAATAAGTGAGTTCAGTTAGGTTCCAGGATATAAGACCACTACACAAAAATCAATTGTATTTTATATTCTAGCAACAAATAATCAGAAGTTTAAATTTTAAAAGAATACCATTTATGATAGCATGAGAAAAACATGAAATATTTAGTGATAAATTTGACAAAAGATATGTAAAACCTGTGCACTGAAAACTACACAACATTGCTGAAAGAAATTAAGGAAGATCTAAACAAATGATGAGATACTTCATTTCCCTGGAGTATAAAGACTCAATATTGTTAATAGGTCAAATTGCCCTAAATTAATACACAGACTCATGCAATCCAAATCAAAGCTCTAGCAGACATTTTGCAGATGTTGACAAGTTGACTAAATATGAATTATAGACCTAAATGTAAGAGACAAAACTTCTAGAAAAAAACGTAGGAGAAAAATCTTAGTGAGTGGGATATGTCTTGGGTTTGGAAAAGATTTCTTAAATATGTCAAAATAAGCATGAAGTATAAAAGAAAAATACATCAGATTTCATCAAAAGTAAAAACTTTAGCTCTTCAAAAAAACACTTTGATAAGAAACGAAAAGCTAAAGACTAGGAGAAAATATTTGCAAGCATATATCTAACAAAAGAGAATATGTATAACTCTATAACAAGATACAGAACCCAATTTTTAAAAAGGGCAAAAAGTTTGAACATTTTCCCAAAGAAGATGTGTGGATGGCAAACAAGCACATTTAAAGATGCTCAAAATCTTAGTCACTAAAGAAATGCAAATTAAAACCACCACAGCCATCTCACTAGAATGGCCAAAAATAAAAATAAAAGTGTTGGTGAGGATGTGGAAGAACTGTAACTCTCATACACTGCTGGTGGGAATATAAAATGATACAACCTCGTTGGAAAACAGTTTGGCAGTCTCTTAAAAAAGTTAAACATACACCAATCATATGACCCAGGCATTCCACTCCTATTTACCTAAGGGAAATGAAAGTATATGTGCATACCACAACTGTGTACAAATGTGTACAACATTGTGAACAAATGTTCATAAGAACTTTACCTGTAATAGCCAAAACCTGGAAACAACTCAGATGTCCATCAATAGGTGACTGGATAAACAAATTGTGATGCATCCATACAATGGAATTCTATTCAGTGATAAAAAGAAATAAACATCTGATACATGCAACATGCATGAATCTCAAAATAATTAGGAGGAGTGAAAGAAGCCTGGCAGGGGCTGGCCTGGTGGCATAGTGGTAAAGTTCACTCGCTCCGCTTCAGCGGCCCAGGGTTCGTGGGTTCGGATCCCAGGCACAGACATACACACCGCTCAACAAGCCATCAAGCCACCGACACACCACTCATCAAGCCACCAAAAAAAAAGAAAGAAAGAAGCCTGGCAAAAAACAGTACATACTGAATTATGCCATTTATGTTTGGAATCAGGTGCAAAGTAAGCTATAGTGACAAGAAGCAGATCAACAGTTGCCTGGAGATGGGGAGGGGCAGATGGAAGGGATTTCAAAATGGTACAGTGTAGGAAACTTGTGGAGGTGATGGATTTGTTCATTTTCTTGAATGTGGTGATAGTTTCAAGGTTACAGACATATGTCAACTGTACTCTTTAAATAGGTGCAGTTTATTGTATGCAAATTATACCTGTAAAATCTGTAAAAGTTTAGTAAAAAACAGCTAGGAGTGGGCAAAACCATTGTTATGCCCCATCCTTAAATTCTTTTTGGTCACAAAGTGTTAGCAGGATTTAAGAAATAGTACAGAGAATGTGATACTTACTTGAGAAAGTCTGTCTCCCTTTGAATTCGCATGATCTCTGTGCTTGTCAAACTCTTCTGGCCAGTTATGTTTGCAAAACCAGGGAACTAAAATTAAGAATGTATATAAAATCAAGGCAAAAGCTATGGGACAGTAAAATTTCATTAAAAATTCATCTTAATGTTTTGTCTTACCCAGAATTCATCTTTTAATGTTTTGTTTTATTATCCAGAATTCATCCTTTAAAAACCATGATGGGGAAAGTCGTTAAGTAATTAGTTATTACTCCACTACCCAACATTAAAAAATTAAAGTGCTATTCATAATCAGATGTGTGTATTTCATTAAAAACAAGAGTTTATAAGAAAACATATCTGAATTTACCATCAGACAGGCCAGATTTTAGAATTCAAAAACTTAAGTTAGTATCCATTTTTCTCAAAGATTACATCCCCAGGAAACTCAAAAAGACTCCCCTGAAAGAACAAACACAGCAATATCTATTTATCCAGAGACACTTAACTCACTGACATATTTTTATTTGACCACCAGCTTTGCACCAGGCACGGTGTTTGACGCAGGGAGGGGGACAAAGCTAAATACCACATGGTCCCCGCCCTCAAGGAGCTGAACTGGTGTACACGCACAACACTGAAACACAGTGGGTAGGGGCGGTAACACAATTGTGTCAGGTCCCATGGGAACCCAGAGGAGGGAATAATCACACGCACTTGCTCCAGGGGAGAAGGGCTCCCCAGGGCAGTAACATCTGAGCCGGGCTTGGGAGAGTAAGGAAAAGCTTGTCCAGTGGACAGAAGGACAAAGGGCATTCTTAGTAGAGGAAACTCATGTGCAAAGACACAGAGGCAGGACAGTGCATGGCCTGTCTCGGGACTTGGGTGGTTTGACATGGTCTAGCAGTCCGAGTGGCAGGAGAATGGGACAGAAAGGAAGGGTGGAGAAGGAACAGGAAGAGGAGAAGCTAACACTTATGGAGGGTCTGACAGTAGTAAAATGCGCCTGGCATTTTGTAGCCATTATCTCCTTGACACTTCACAATGACCTGACGAGGTAGGTAATATTATCCCCATTTTATTTTTGTAACATTTTCTTTTGATATAATTTCAAATTTACAGAAAAGTTGCAAGGATAGTACAAATTACTCCTATATATGGACCTCAACCAATTGTTCACATTAACATTTTGCCCCAAAAGCTTTCATTCTCTCTCTCTCAATCACATGAGAATAAGCTGCAGTCATGATGCCCCTCTGTCTCTAAATACTGCAGTGTGCATTTGCTAAGAACAAGGATGTCCTCTTACCCAACAGTGCAATTCTCAAAACCAGGAAAACTAACAGTGATACAAAACTATTATCTAACCCACAGATCTTTATTCAAATTTTGTTAATTGTGCCAATGATGTCCTTCACGCTGTATTTTTTTCCTGGTCTAGGATCCAGTCCAGTATCACACTTCTCATTTAGTTGTCTCCTTTAATCTGGAATAGTTTCTCAGTCTGTCTTTATCTTTCATGATCTTGACATTTTTGAGGAGTAGCAAGGTCAATTAATTTGTAGACTCTCCTTCAATTTGGTTTTGTCTGATGTTTCCTCATGACTGGATTCAGTCACATATTTCGGCACAAATACCAGAGAAATGATACTGTGTCCATCTCAGTGCAGCATATCAAGAGGCACATATAATCCTCATTTTTGAGATGAGGATGGTGAGGCTCAGAAAGTCGCAGTCACTCACCTGAGGTCAAGTCAACAATATGTCTACTATCACACATCTGACCCCAGTACACACCCTATCTACCACAATGCCTGTGGGCTGAGCTTAGGACTCCAGACTTTATGCTGCAGGCAATGAAGAGCAGTCAGAGGTTTTTAGTTGCTTCTGGGTCAGATCCAATATGGCCTAGACCAGAAGTCGCAAAGGGGTGGTCTACTGCCCAAATCCGGCCTGCCACTGAGTTTCATTTGGCCTATACATATTGGCCCACACTGTGTTTCAAATTTTTAATTAATTTTAAAGGTTAAAATTAGGTTATAACACATAAAGAGGCAGGTTTCTTCCTTCTCTTGCAAATTCATAGATGTGGCAACTCTGAGCCTGGAGGCGTTCTTATCAATGTTATTTGGAGCTGAGTCGAGATGACCCCTTCAGCTGGCAGGGCATTCCACATGGCCAGAGAACCCCCAACTCTTGTGCCCTGACACTAAAGGCAGGTGTCAGCTGTCATTTATCTCCCACCCAGGCTGTACCACACATTTACTCTGCTGCCTAGCCCCTGACAGTGCCCCTAGGCCAGAAGCTTAGCTCTGAGATATCCTGTCTCCCTGGTGGTTGTTGACATGTTGTACCGCCCACTAGCATTATCAATTCTGATGTTTGCTGAAGTATGCTTCAGATGGGATTGAGCTGGAATATTGAGAAGTAGCTCTTACCAATACGAGGAAAAAGAGTGGAAGATAAAAGTTTTGTGGTCCTTTTCTGGCCTCATTGGTCCTCTGAACTCTAGTCAAATTCCCCAAACTTGTCCCCATGTTCCCAGTTTTTTAGGATTCTAAATCTTGGAATCTTTATGTATTTTTTACTCTATCTTCCCCTTGGAAACACAACTCTAAAATAAGTAGGTGGGCAAGGTAATCCAAATACCTATGCACAAAGAAAATAATTCTTTCTAGATATATTACAGATAATTAAGGTCACATGAGACCGTTTCTCTGAAAATAGTTATGATTGTGTTTTGTCATATACCATTCATTCTTCAAAATGATGCTTTTTTATCTCAAAAGCAGTATTCTTTTTTGGGGTACACTGGTGAGCATTGCTCACAGGAGCTGAGTGTGCTCATTAGCCTATTTGGTAATCATTCTTTCCAGAAGACTGCAAAGGGCAATATTCTATTGCAGGGATGGTTGTCTTTTTGTTTAGTGAGATTTGCAAGCAGGTCTTTCTAGGTCTGTGTTCCTCTGTCCTGGGCTTTGTGGTCCTCCAGAAAATATAGCAGGTGGGCAGATGGAAGAATCCAGGAGGTCAGGCAGAGTTACACCACAGAATTAGAGATTGGAAATGAAGGAAAGGGCTTAACCTCTGGATAAGGATAGCTGGTCTTTTAAGCCAGTGATTCTCAGACTGGGCTGATTATCAAAATCATCCACGGACTCCATCCAGGCTGATGGACTCCATCCAGCCTTAGGGACTCAGATTATCTAGGAGGATTGCAGGAGAGGGTAGCTGGGAATCTATATATATATATATATATATATTTCAAGTTCTACCCAGACGATTCTGATGTGCAACCAGGTGTGGGAACCATGCTTTTAACCTCCTTTACACTTGATGATAAGTGCAAGCAGCCTTAGAATCACGGGTACACAAGAACCAGTTGTGGTTGGATAGAAACTGTGACTCCAGGTATGCTCTACTTGGGGCTCAGACTGCAGGAAAAGAGCAAGCGCTCCTGAGTTGCCCTTAGATGCCAATATTCTAAACTGGATTTTATAAACATTGAGAAATAAAAGTACTATAATAGTAGGAGGAGGCAGCAACTAGTATAAGGGCATCTTTCTTGTGTTATATAGTAAGAATGCATTGATATGGCTTTTATTTAGGTTGTAAATCACCTCCAACTTGTCAAATCCAACAGGCAAGTCCCCGTCCTTGTCTAATTTGAATCCTTAGTAACATCTGACATAGATGACCACCGCCTTCTCCTTGAAACTCTTTCTTCTCTTGGCTTCTATCGCACCACATTTTTTTTTTTTTTTTTTTTTTGGCTTTCTTCCTATTTCTCAGGCTCTTCCTCTTCTGCTCAACCTCTAAGTCAAGGATTTTGTCTTGTGCCATCTTCTCTTCATTTTCTGTACACCACTGGCAAGTGATCTCATTCAGACCCAAGCTTTAAATACTACCTGGTATATTGAATATTGCTAAATATATTTCTCTAGCCCTGACCTCTCCCCTGAGTTAGAACTTGCACGTCCAACAGTCGACTTAACACCTCCACCTGAATGTCTAATGAGCCGTTGAACACCTGCTCCTCCCTGGTCTTCCCCATCTCATTAGTGATACCATCATCTCCAGATGCTCAGGTCAGAACCCTGAGAGTCATCCTTGGCTCCTCCTTTTTCCTCATCCCATCCATCTGATCCCTCAGCCAAATCTGTTGGCTCTACCTCCAAAACATATCTGGATTCCCACCCCCCTCCTATCCTCACCACTTAAACGTCCTAAATGATATTTCCCTCTTCTCTACAGCCTAATCTCCATACGATGGCCAAAGAGAAAACTTTTAAACATAAATGAGATCACGTCTTACCCTCCAAATGGATTCCCTTTACAATTAGATGCCAAACTCTTTACAATGAGACTCACTGTAGCATCTGTGATTACCAACCATGTCTGCCCATAAGAATCACTTGTGGGTGAACTAAAAAAATAAAACCATGCCTAAACCCCATACCAGACCAATTAAATCAGAATTTCTGAGGTTGGGGTCCCAGGATTGTTGTGAAGCCCCTCAGGTGATTCTAATATGCAGCGATGTTTGAGAACCACAGCTCTCTGTGCTCTGGCCCCAGCCTAACTCTCCTACCTCATCTCCTACCTTGTTCACCACGCTCCATCCATACCAGCCTCCTTGCGATCCCTCACTTTGTGCTCCTTGTTGTTACTGCTGCTAAGATCTTTGCAGGACTCACTTCTGTTCATCTTGAAGGTTCAATTCAAATGCCGCCTTTTCAAGGAAGCCCTCTCTTATCACCCTGAATTAGAACATTGTTTTTCCTCCATGATCATTCTCCATCCCAGGGGTTCTCAAATTTGAGTGGGCATCAGAAGAAGGAACAATTAAAACAGATTATTGGGCCCACCCCAAGAGTCCCTGAATCAGTAGGTCTGGGGTGGGGCCTGAGGATTTGCATTTCTAATAAGCTCCCATGTGATGCTGATGCTACTGGTCTGGGGACCACCGTTTGAGAACCACTGCTCTATCCCATTACCCAGTTTTATCTTTTTAACAACACATCACTATTTTAAATTTTTTCTTTGATTATTTACATGTTTATTATCTGCCAGCCCCCACCCCTAATAAAACGTGAGCTCCATGAACACAGGGGCCTTTCTCGTCCAACACAGTATTCCCAGCACGGGAACAGTGCCTGGCACAGGGTGAAAAGGCAGGGGACACTTCCTTAAAATATTTCATGGGAAGCATTAAAAATATAGTAGGTATTTAGTACCCTAAAGATTTTCCTTAGAAGTTACCTGGGACTGGTGGGTAGGTGGTCTAGAACCTGATTCTTCATGGTAAGCTGGGGTTTCCAGTGGACTCGCTGAGAAGCAAAGATATTTCAGAGTTTTAGGGTCAGCTCTTTCATCTAAGTTGAGGTCTACAATTATATCAAAAACACCGTTCTGTGAACAGCAATTATATACATAATCATGCAAATATGTATTCATAGTTGGAAAACTGTTAATAAGGAACACTGTCATCCCATTCTTTCCCTAAAGTAGTAATTATATAAAGAAGCCCCCACTCAGTTGAATTAGCACTGACAAAGAAAAAATTAGCCCAGACTGAGAAAATTAAAATCTGCCCTGCTACATTCCACAACATTCCCTATCAGGCTGGGAAGACAGATAAATCCAATTGCAAGGTTAACAGAAAACATCATTTCTCCCCAAGACACATTTCAGCTGTAAAATGTCATAACAGCCCTCCCCTTGCATGACTATTGTTTCTTACTTGCCAAGAAACTTTGTTCTCTAAAATCAGATTATCAGAAACTCTGCTGTTTGAAATCCTGTTAGAATGAAACATCCAACAATTGCCTGGAGGACCTAAGTCACTCTGACATAGAGAAGCAGCCTCAGTTTCCAACCTTAGTGCAGAGCTTCAGAGACAGGCTAATGAGCACAACATTCCATATTTATCTTTGCAGTTTCCAAGGTAACAGAACCCTGGGCCCCTCTGCACTCCATACCTGATGGTGACCACTTAACGCACAGCCCTGCTTTGCTTTGAGCCTATCAAAACTCTACTTGCATTAAAATTTCACCCAAGCTCCATACTTCCCCCAAACCCTACAACTGTATCTTTTCCTTTCTTTAATGAGATGGCCCATGGTTCCTCTGGTATGTGGTCTCCCTCGGTGCAAAGTCGATCTGACTTTGTTGGACTGCTTGATTATTCCTCATGGTCTTAAGCTGTTAGCTAAGATAGCACTAAAACTCAAATTATAACTTACTTTCCTGTTCCAGTGTTTCTTATTCCAACCTTTCTGAGGACAAGAAAATAAGCAGAGAATCTGTTTGGTGGTTTAGAATACTAAATCTTACCTTCGTTTAGTCACATCATACCTGGAAACTTGCTAAGGTTAACATTCCAACACAGTTTATTTTCAGCATTCTTATATTTCTTCCTTAGTTTTGCCCCAACAAATCCATTTTTCAATTCCTAGGAATAAAGAGATTGCATGTGAATCACTTGATTGTGCCCATTTCAAATACGAAAATTAAAAGTTCCATGGTGGAGACAGTGCCATAGCATGCACTTCTTACTTGAAAGGGTTTGCAATAGTTTTTACAAAGAGACCTCTGTCTCACTTTACTCTGGAAACACACAGCTTTGTATGTGGGCTGCTAGTTGCCAGCATGTCTGCTTGGTAAGCCCCACCAGGTCAAGCAGTCAAGACCAGAGGCAGGTAGCAGCACATGTAGGCAGGATGTTGCAATCATGGGAGTCTGAGTAATAACAGTGGGATCACCAGATCCAGGGAGCAAAGAAAAGTTGGGGTCAGACCAAGATAGGACTTATGTACACTACCTACACACACACAGTCCTTAAACACTCTCCTCTCTGGACTTTCTTCTCTCTGGACTCAGTCCCTTATGCCTGATTCAAGCCGGAGGACCTGCTGATACACGTAGGCTCAGCCTCTCTGCTGGCTGCACCTGCTCAGTGTAGATCCCTGCCCTGATCATACTTGAGCCCCACACTATGCCTGCACCCACTGCTTTGGTCCCACAGCCTCCCCTCTGGCCTCTGGTCCACAATTGGGCTGAAGGGACTCCCAAAAAAACTTCCCCTGTCACCCCCAACAAGACCTCCATGAATGAGTTTTTGGTTGGTTGCCTTACCATGGGCTGGCCCATCCTCTGGCCCTTGGATATATCTCACTGATGCCCAAAATCCAGGGACTGAAGTTCCAAACATCATTTTTAGATAGCTCTAGTTCATTCTCCAAAGAAGTGAGGCTTTGCAGCCATTTGGGAATGAAGATTTCAACATAAAGGAAGGCTATGCCCACTGAGGGCTTCTACTGGTCTGACGCATCTATTCCACAAAGATACACTCACCGCCCTTTCCTACCTGTCCCGTGCAAGGCATCAAGTACGGCAGACATGCTCTCTGCCACCTTGGAGCTTACAGTGCATGGAGAAGACAGACAAGAAGCAAAGTAATCACATATTCAAAGCGTTTTATAAAAGGAGAAGGCCTGGGTGCTAGAGGAGCAGTGGTGGAACACAGCATACACAGTTTAGTTTGGCTGGAGTATATATACGGGAGTCACAAAGCAAGAGAGGATGACTGAGGACAGAAACCAATCACTTGGGATGCCAGGCTAAAGGTTTCTGCTTTCTTCAATAGGTAAGGGGAAGTCATTGAAGACACTGGAGCATAAGCAGGGATACTAGGCAGGAATTTCTAAGGGGCAGGGTGGAGGAGGGACTGACCAAAGGGTGGGAAATCAGTGAAGATACCTTGCAATGGTTGATACTGACCTCAATTATGAGGGCCTGACTGTGGGGAGAATGACTGTGGTGAGAAAATGAAAGGGAAGACGTGACCTCTGAGAAAGAAGAAACTAAGAATGTGGTATGACTCTCCGAATATATTATAGTTTCATTACTTGCCTGCTTTGAAGAATCTTTGAGAACATTTCCAATATTGTCTTCTGAAGAAACTGTATTTGGTGGTTCATAGTCCACCTGGAACACCTTTGTTACAACGCCACTCTGTCGGCAGTCTCTGAAAATTATTTTAAAAAGTCTGTGTTACAGAAAGATTCGAAAAAAGGCAGCTAGCAATTAAGATGACTCTATTAAAGTCCCTTAGTCTGGCTACTAAATTTGTTATATTTTAAATGGGAGAAATCAAAACACAGCTTCTATAGTCTTTCCTTACCTTATTCTCATTTAGTGTATCTATTTTTATGTAACAAACCACTTCAAAACGTAGTGTCTTAAAACACACATCTGTAGGTTAACCACGCTCAGCTGGACAGCTCTCCTTTGTGATCTCTTACGTGGCTGCAGTCAGGAGTCAGCTGGGGCTGGAGTCAGCTGAAAGATGAACTTGGTTGGATGTCCAAAATGGTTTCTTGCCTCATATTCAGAGCCTAGGCTGGGATAACTGGAACAGCTGGGGGCTCGCCAGACATCTCTCTCAGTCTGTCTGCCTATCTGTCTTTCTCTCTGTCTCTCTGTCTCTTCCTTTCTCCCTCCCTCTCCATGTGGTTAGCTTGGGCTTCCTCACAATATGGAAGCCTCAGGGAAGTCAAACTTCCTACAGGGTGCCTGGCTTCCCCCAGTGTTTATGATCACACTTCTTGTGATCTAGTCTTAGCGTCATTTCTGAAGCATTCTATTGGTCAAAAGTAAGTCATAGGGCCAGCCCAGATTCAAGCGAGGGGCTACACTGGAAGGCATGGTTCATGGGGGGTCCATTTTTGGAGACTATTTGCCACACTCACCATAAAGATTTCATACCTTAAGCCTCAAACTATTCTAAAACAAAGAATGGGGTTACCTATATATCATTCCATGTGAGTCAAGGGAATTTTCCTTACCCCAGCTGTACCATAGTATTCCATTTTGTGGATGTATCACAGTTTGTTTATCCATTCCCCAGTTGATGGTTATTTGGATTTTTCCCAGTTTTGCACAACTGTGAATAATGCTGCTGAGCATTCACATATAAGTCTTTATATTTACATATAAGCCCTGACAGTTGGGTTTTCTCTTTTTTGTAATGCAAGTGCCTGACTTCCGCTTTGATTGCTGAGACATCCACTTCATAGAGGCATCCATTTCAAAGATGGCTATCTCAAACACATTGCCAGCCACATAACTAGATTAGGAGCCAGACCGCCTCCCCTCCCCCTCACCCAGGCTTCTTTGTTTTAGAGATCCTGTTTGGTTTCAATAACACCATTTGGGCTGCTTGTTTTTCCTCTTCCTATGCTTTATTTTTTATTTTTTTTTTTAATAATTTTCTTTATTCATTTATTCCCCCAAAGCCCCAGTAGATAGTTGTATGTCATAGCTGCACATCCTTCTAGTTGCTGTATGTGGGACACGGCCTCAGCATGGCCGGAGAAGCGGTGCGTAGGTGTGCGCCCAGGACCGAACCCAGGCCGCCAGCAGCGGAGCGGGCGCACTTAACCACTAAGCCACGGGGCCGGCCCTTTTCCTATGCTTTAAATTCCCACTCTCATGTTCTAAATTCACCAGTAAAGAGTGAGTCCATGAAACCCAAGACCCACCCTGTACCCCAATGAAAGCAGAACCCCAGGCTCACGCACGCGTGCTTGCTCTCTCTCTACTTGCAACTACACTGTGTGGTCCCAGCTGTGCCATGAAATTATCAGGACCTGTAAGTAATAAATCTTGTCTCTTTCAAAGTTTCCTGATGGTTATTACTGAGGGCATCTTGCGATAATAATTAAGAATCACAAGGGCTGGTCCAGACACAATATTGGTTATCAATAGGCTGAGAGCCACACACAACAGTCTTCATGTGGACATTTTACTTCTCTTGGATAGATACACAAAGTGGAATTGCCGGGTTATATGGTAAGCATGTTTAACCTTTAGAAACTGCTAAACTGTAGTTGTTCCATTTTACATTCCCACCAACATTATCTGAGGGTTCCAGTTTCTCCACATACTCATCAACATCTGATATTATTGGCCTTTTTTGATCACCTGTACTCTTGATCATGATCTCTGAAGGTATTTGCTTGAGATGTCTCTAGTGTATTAGGATATAGGCTTGGCTCTTTTAACACAGAACCAAAACAATAGTGGCTTACACAAGAGAGAAGCAACAGGGTATAATGAGTCCCTGGTACAGAGGTGCCACGGTGATGGGAGCGTGGTGTCAAGTTTCTACCTTGTTGCTCCACCATCCCTAGGACATTGCCCTTGTCCTCATGATCCAACAGGGCTGATGATCATTCCCGCCAGCAGGAAGCAGGGTCCACCCCATCCCTTCAAGTGCATAATCCAAAAGGGGCACATGTCACTTCCACATACATCCCAGTGGTCACACCTGGTGACATGGCTCTCACTAGCTGCAAGGAGGATTGGGAAATATCATTCTTCTTGGCAACCCTGTGTCTAGATAAAAATCATGGGCTCTATTATTCAAGAAAAAGGGAAACACAGACATTGAGGGACAGCCAGCAGCCTCTGCCATATCATCATGACCACGCTTGGTGTATTTACTTGATATGTTTAACTCTCACCCCACTAATTTGTATTGAAATCTCATAGCTGGAACACAGGTGATTCTGTTTCATCTGTCCAGGCACTTGATACTTTTAACATTTCCAGTTGTCTTCTTTCTTTAGTGTTCTTTGTCTGCTTTGCTCTTATTGATTTCTATATTGGTCTTTGATACATTTTATCTGTTTCATTAGCATTTCTTTTGCAATTTCTCAAATTTTTTCCATGACAGTTTTTTATATTTCTTAAAATTTTTGTGTTTTTTTTTTAATTT